CTTCAGTGCAGCCTTGGACCCCCTGCCTTCTACTGCCCCCCACCCCCAACCCAACCCCACCCCATAACAAAATTGCTTGATCGACTTTCTTGAATTTTCCTGTTTTTTTTTCTCTCAAGATAGGAGCACTAGCCCAATTTCAGTAATTAAAAGTAAACAGATAGCTAATGAAACATGCAAATTTATGCTGAAGTCTAGTCGGTACTTGTATTCTAAATACTGCACGAAGTAGAAATCAGATTTTGCAAATATAAAAAAAAAACATTTTTATTTTATTAAATTCAAACATTTGAAAATGAATGTATTCTTTGAAAATTAAGGTACATTGATGGCATTAGGAATTCTATTTATTCTATCTCAGCTTAGTTCAGTTTATTGAAGATAAAGAGACATATATCTCACAATTATACATTTTTATAACAAATATAATGATGAGCTTAACATGCAACATGTACAGTACATATTATATTTTCTATAATGTATAAACAAGTGAAAGGCACTATTCTTGATGCACTCGCTAGTTGCACAAATTTTCCTAGATTACATAATTATTTTTTATTCTGTGTAATAACATGACTACGGTAAGTAACTGTACTAATTTGAGGACACTTGGTCTTCGGGAGTATAGTACATATATACACTGTGTTACAGTTTCTATCGAACATGTACAATTTTGCAAAGCCTAGCCAATGAAATTCATTTGTAATATTTACAATGCAGTCATCATTATTTTCTGTCCTTTTTTGGAGACATGCTTGAAGAATACAATTATCACTACTTTAAAAGAAAAAAAAACCAACATTTAAGGATTTTCTTTTCCCTGACCAGTTTAAGAGGAAATTCACCTAATTCACAATATATTACCATAATGTTATATGTATTCTGAAAAGGGTACATAGTGCGGGGTGCAGATATAATTATGTTTTGTTGTACAATTTTTAGTGTATTGATGTATACGGGTATACCTATTGAATACATCAAAACATCCCTCCTTTTAATTAATATTATATATCATTGTAAGTTACAAAAACAATTTGAATAATCTTTTGAAATTAATGTTTTTCAAGTTTAAAAAAAATACCACACAAAATTAAAGAGAATTTGTACACTTCGATTGATTGATTGTGTATATTGTTAAACGTCTCTCTCTCTCTCGAGAATTTTTCACTCACATGGAGACGCCACCACTTGCCGGTGGAGAGCTGGAAATTTTGTCATATACTTGGCACTGAGGGCCATTGAGCAGGGAGGGATCTTTTTTCGTGCATGTATCTACTGCGACACGGGACCTTGATTTATACGGTCTCATCCGAAGTACCGGTCTCCACGTCCCACAGTGGGATTCGAACCCTGGACGTAAGGATTGACTCCTTTGCGACTCTCGAGCAGACGCTTTAACCACTGCGCCACGCGGGCGACTGTAGACTTCGAAAGATGTATGTTGATTTTCGAAATCCATTGCTTGGTAAAAATATATCATCTCATGCAAAGTGATCAATAATGCTATGAACGCTAGGGATAGAAATTTACAGTACAAAATTTTAGGCTATAATTTTTTTTGTCCAACATTTATATGGCAAGTATTGACTTTGGACAATTGCAGGCACTTTTTCTGTATTTGTCCTGCTTAGGGCATTGATTCCCTATTGATGTATTGTAGTTTTATTAAACCCAATTTTGACAATTGTTTCTAACAAGGGATGTAGCAACAGGGGGCCCAAGGGGTGGGGGCTGCCCCCCCCCCCCAGTTTTTTCGAACGCAACTTATCACTGTAGGAAATGTTTATTAGAAGACACCCCCCCTAAATTTACAGTTACAGTTAAGGGAAATAAAAGAAATGTATTATCGCATTAAAATAAAATTTGGTGCTAGCTGAAGGTGTGCTTTTATTGTAAAAAAAAATTAAATAAAAATATCATATACCAATTATACAAACAATGCTATTTCAATAAATATTTTTTAAACTCCGGGAGCGAGCCCCTGCGCACCAAGATTCATTTTTTAACTTCATAAAAAGATTGCTCATGAGGAAAACTTAGTGTGGTAAAAATTGTAAATCATGCTAGTTTGAACGTCTAACCGTCTAAGCAAGCTACTCTAAGTATATATACACTGTACAGTGTTACATAGAGACTGTTTCTGTCACTGTCTGACCTGACATATATCTACATTGTCTCTCATCAACGTGTTTTTACATGTAATGTAATATTCTTATTGCGAAATGTACCGGGGTCGGGGGAGAGTCAGGGCAGAGGCCCCCTCAGGTGTCACAATTTTCAAAGCAGAGGAATATCGGTTAAATGCATGAAAGCCAAAAAACGGAAAGAAAAAAGCACAGGGGCTTGCTCCCGGCGTGTAATAATTATTTATTTAAAAATCATTTAAGAGAGTAATCCAAGGGAAGTAATTGGGAAGTAAAAATGCTTCAAAATGCAGAAAAAATTAATATTCACCTTTAAAATTCTTTTATGCATATCATTTGCCCACCGAATTAAATGCTTAATATAATAAAATGTTGACCTTCCTTTTTCTATGCTTAATTTGTAAATGATTGTATTTTTTTGTCTTAATTGTCTTAAGCATTTAACCAGAAGTCTCTGTCGAGACTGAAGCTCTACTGGTTTGTACTTATAGCAAAGGAAGAGAAAAGTACTTAAGCAGTTGGGAATTGAAACTTTACAACAGCAATAAATAGAATAATGATCCTTGATAAAGTCTCTTTATGTTCCTAGTGTAGTCTACTTGTGTGACAAGTTATATTGAAATCAGACGAAAACTGTAGGAGGAGTAGCATTTTGAAACAATTCTATAAACATTTTTATTTTCAGTAACCACCATTCCTGGAAATCAAAAACCGATAAATCTAATTATGTATCCTAGTGCAGTCTACTTGCGTGCCAAGTTATATTGAAATCAGACCAAAACTATAGGAGGAGTAGCATTTTGAAACCATTTTAATGAAATTTCTATTTTTAGTAACCACGACAACACCGTTTATCGAAATCAAAAACCGATACACAGAATTATGTATCTTAGTGTAGTCTACTTGTTTGCCAAGTTATATTGAAATCAGACCAAAACTGTAGGAGGAGTAGCATTTTGAAAAATTGTTTCAAGACAGACGGACAGACAGTCAGACAGACAGACAGCTAGACGGACGGACGGACACCGGACGCATTACTATCGCATAAGCTCTTCTGGTCTCTGACCAGTAGAGCTAAAAACAGCAAGATTTACCATATTTTGATATTTTCGAGTACCTAGCATGACCACTAACAAGTGTGAAATTAAAATTGAACCGTAAACATTGTTGTTTGAATCTCTAGCATTGGTTTAAAAAAATTATACACAAATTTAATTATCTCCTTTCATTTCTGAACATCTTCATGAAAAGAGCAGATTTTCATGATTTACAGAAATGAGAAAGTCTGTATCCCGTTTCCATGGCAACGGTTAACCGAGGTTATAATTCAAAAATACTTCTACATTTCACAATCAATCACACATTTGTTTATAATTATGACAGAAAAAATTCAAATCTGTAATTACGCGTTGCCAACCAATTTTGATAATTACGGAGAATTGGTCTTAAAATGCTTATGTACAGAGACTTTAGAGAATAACTTTAGCTCCTTGTAATATATAATTTTATTAACGTTATAAGCTCAGTAATATTGCTATGCATTAATTAAGATAAAAAATTACTATTGTTAAAGTTCAACACTATTTTTTAATATTTAACAAATCATCATTACTAGACAAAAATAATCAAATCTGTGAATGAGTGCATGTCAAAAGTGGATTTATTTTCTTTGTTGCTATGGGGAATTTTCTGTTGCTATGGCAATTAGTATATGCAAAATATTCCTGGATTCATGAAGAAGTCTCAGAAACATGTTTTTATTTTAAAAATTGATTTTGGTATCCACCGATAAGATTTAATTCCATAAATAACTCGCATATTTGACAATTTGTCTCTTTCTCTTAATCAAAACATCCATTTTTGTTGCTAGGCAACCGATTGTAAATATTAAAAAACACACGTTTTTGAATTTAAATTCCAAAAAGGATATTCCTCTGCCTTTATGTAAAATATACCATACTCTTGTATTGTGCAAGAAGTTTGAGATATATGGCCTTGAAAATTGCCCAAATTAACAAAAATGCTGAATCAGCAAAAAATGCAAAACATACTTATCTTCCTTTGCCCATAAAAGAAATATCTTAAAATAAAAATTGTATGTATTACATGGTTTTATCACTTGAAATGTTTATCTTTATGATAACATTATTTAAGAACTCCTCTGGTAATATTCACATTCAATTTCAAGCCTCTAAGTTTAGTGATATATTTGTCCATAAACATGGAAAATTGACCGGTTGCTAGGGAAAATTTCTTTGGCCATGTTTCCATAGTAACCAGGACCCAAAATAATTTTCATTTTACATACGTGGTTCATAGGGTAAGAGAAACCTATGTGTGTAAAATCATCGAATTCTGAGAACCCTCATGATTCACCTTTTGTCTGATTCTTACAGAGACCTGTACTTAATAATGATCAATTTTGTATTTAAAAAAATGGGTTCTTTGTTATTATAAAATGATGTCTACACTCATCACCATGAATTACGTTTTTGTCTATATTACCCGGTCAAACAAATTTAAGGTCAGACGATACGTTCCTCAAAAATATATGATTTTTAAAATTTAAGAATTTTGTTATTGATGTAAAGGTATTTAAGCAATTTTTTCACAAAAATTTAGGGTAACTTACAGGCGTTTGGACAAGATGCCACAGGGTCATATTTCCTGAGATAACCCTTATGGGTAATATATTGAATAGACAATATCACAATTTTGGGTGCACCTATATTTAAATAATTTTTGATATAATACCAAGAGAAACAGGACATGTATTTGAGGAACGTCTGATCTTAAAACGTGACAAATGTATTAAAAAGATAAAAAAAAATGTGCGTTAAATTATCATTTTTACAGTTAAAAACTGATGATAGTTGCCCAGCAAGGCATTGCGATCTTTGCCATGATATAGGGGAATCAGCATATGCCACTTTGGTTTGTAAGCAGGAACAGCTATACCTTTGTAAGCCTTGCGGAAAGCGTCATAACATTCAGCGTTCGACCCAGTCACATGTTGTCATTGATATTAAAGATTATGAAGAGAACAAGTTATTCTGCGAAATTTGTGAGAGTCAAAATGAAAAGGTACCAGTCTATGGATTCTGTGAAACATGCGAAGATCCAGAATATCTGTGCCAACCTTGTTCAAGAAGACATACAGCATCGAAATTTTTCAAAAATCACTCAATCTGCACCAACCTAGATAAACTGAATTATGTTCTGAACTCAAAATCTGCACAGGTATGTCCTATCTTTATTTATTAAGCTTTATATTTTGGATGATTAATCCTCCAAGTTAGCAATCTCATCTATGTTTTGGAGGTCCATGTTGCATTTGGTTATAATATGTAATGTTTAAATTGACTTCTGAGGTTGCCAATTTTTCGTTCATAAAACGAACATCATTTCTTCATAAAAGATATCTCTGACTCTTTACAAGATCAAAAAATTTCCTACAATTTATCGCATTTTTGTCTTTTTAAGAGGTATTTTGTTTATTTAATAAATGACATTAAAGCTGAAGCAGTTGATAAAAAAATATCTAAACAACGAATTTTGCAAATTGTGGCAGTACAAGTGCCATCTGCAGTTTCGTACATTATGAACATAATTTTGAAAACAAATCTGAGCAATAGATAAATAACGCTAACAAATATGATCATTACACGCCGAAACAAGATGAATTTTTTTCCAGGACGCAAAGAATGACAAGGATAGAGATACGAAAACAATGAATTGTAGCCTTTGCACTGATATCGGGGAATATCGAGTAGCATCCTGCTTCTGTTCATCTTGTGACATACCTGAACCATTGTGTGATGAATGCAGTCGACATCACACCCGACAAAGGAATATGCGCGACCATTCACTGTCCACTGATATGCAAGCTTTTGTTTCTATTCTAAAACACAAAACAATTAAATGCGAGTTGTGTCTACTTGATGGCGAGCACAAGCCTGCTAGTTCCTTTTGTCTAACATGCGAAGAACCAGAGGCACTATGCGATGGATGTTCCTCCCAACATATTAGACAAAGAACATTCAGAAATCATCAGATAAGCAATGATATAGCAAAGTTACCTAAAAAGAAAAAAATCTTGTGCGAACCTTGTACTATTGAGGGGGTTAGATCTCCCGCCAATTTTTTTTGTAAAGACTGTGATGATCCAGAACCTTTATGCAAGGATTGCGCACGTCAGCACACAAGGCAACGCCAGTTCAGGGAACATTCAATATGCGATGATATAAATAAAATGACCCTGAAATCAGGAATAGTATCTCGTGTTTTATGCGCTGTATGCAAGGAAGAAGACACAGATTCTGAAGCTTCTTGTTTTTGTCAAGATTGCAGTGATCAAGAACCTTTTTGCCCAGAGTGTGCCAGACAGCATATTAGACAGAAAAGCTTCCGAAGTCATAAACTGTGTAAAGATTTATCACTTTTACAAGACTCAGGAAAGGAAAAAGTTTTTTGCAATATTTGCAAAAAAGACAGCAAGAATATTCCTGCTGATGTATATTGTAAAGATTGTTTAAAGCCTGAGCCATTGTGTAACAGTTGCGCCCGTCAACATGTAAAGCAAAAACAATTTCGAAATCATGGAATGTGCAAAGATATAGCGCATTTTATCAAATATCAAAAGCTAGATGAAAAGGCTTGTGACATTTGCAAGATTGATGGAAAACATTCAAAAGCAACGAAATATTGCCGTGACTGTGAGGAGCTTTTGTGCAAAAAGTGTGAAGATACACATCTCAAATTTAGCTTTGATCATGTACTTACTGACAATTTAGGCAGCAGTGCACTTTGTGAGCCATGTAAAAGGGGAAATAAAAAATCATCAGCGAATTCATTTTGCGAAAATTGCGAGGAACCAATGTGCAAAACATGTTCAGAACAACACCTGAAACAAAAACCTTCTAGAGACCATGTCATTTGCAACAATATTTTAAAATTTCTCAAACCAAAATCAGAAAAAGAAACTGGCGAAAAAAATCCAATGGAAAGGTGATTTTTTTTAACATCTTCAGTACAAGAAGAAAGACACAATAATTAATATTTCTTTTGTGACTGATTTTTAATTGATGTTATGTAAATTTTTTGCATCATTACCTTCTTTTGGATAATTTTAAATTCATCGTAATATTTGAGTTTGTTTTTATTTATTTTTTTATAAGTATGAAAATTTTGTATCTTCTTTGCAATTGTTATTTTTTTTAATTATAGCTTGGAGTTGGAGGATAGCTCAGAAAGAAACAAAAAAGGAAGTAGGATTGAAACTAAAATCAAGGTAATTAAAGATAAAACATAAAACTGTGTTTTGTAATTTTTTTTATTTAATCTTTAAATCATCTGTTTCATTCTAGATACGTAACAAACCAACTATACTAAATAGGAAGTCCGATTCAATTGAGTTGTTTTGGGAAGTAATAGAGGAGGAAATTGATTTTTATCAAATAAGATATAAAAGCCCAAAAGGAAATGACAAATGGAAGTTCTGTGAAACGAATGATTCAACCAACACATTCGTGGTAAGTGGACTTAAGGCAAATACTGCCTATATTTTTCAAGTTCGAAGTGTGGCCAATGACATAGAAGGATTTTACAGTGAACAAAGCGATCCTATTTACACAACCAAGTCCTTAGCAACAAAGATGCTCGATTTCTCTGTCATAATACCAAATACAGATCCAGTAAAGTACCAATTAGCAGCAGAGGAAAATATACATGCCCGTAATAGTCATGCAAAGACAAGGCAACTTATTCTAGGTAGGTTAATAAAGTGAGGATATTAAATAAAAGGAAATCAGCAGATTAAATTCAAATTTATATCATGCACTTTTTTGTAAATACTATTTTATGGTTTGTTGCTATTTATCTCCATTTAATTGTGAACATAGTTCATGATTTTAGGAGCTAATTTTTAAAATAATTTTTATAATTGTTATCATTATTTTTATAACTTTGTCTAATTTCAGATTCTTAATTATGCTCTAATTATTGCATATTTTTATCTTTATTTTTAATGTTTAAGCGCTTTAGAGTAATTTTAATTATATTTAGCGCTACATAATTTAATAACAATAATAATAATAATTAAAATAATAATAATAATAATAATAATAATAATAATAACGTCATATTGATTAGGAAAACAACAAATTGGGTCGTCGTGGGAAAAAACCATGATGCTTGTTGGTGCAACAGGTTCTGGAAAGAGCACACTGGTGGATGGCATTATCAATTATATATTGGGTGTCAGCTTTGAAGACCCCTTTCGGTTTACGCTGGTTAACCTAGAGCAAGACGAAAAGAAGACTCACAATCAGGTACATTTTTATCATTATTTTTAATTTCAAAGTTAATGGAGATTTACTTTATTTATCTTTATTCAGCCCTATTGGTATTAACAAATTAGATTAGTTCACCAGAATGAACGTGAAGTAGATCCATTTTGTGATGGTAACAAACAAGATCATTCTCTACATATAGTGCAAAGAACAACCAACACAAATATTTATTACTTACAATGTTGTTTTCTACTTCTTCTATCCGATAAACAATCTTAATGCATGTCAAATTCTATAATACATGTGTAGATTCAAAACATTGTTTCAATTTCACTTCCATATTATCTTTAGCGCTTGCTGTGTGCTCGGTCGTTCGCTAGTTTTTTCGGCCGCGCCTGACTTAGGTTGATAAAAAATTGGTATCATGTTCCTTCACAAGCACTATGTACTTTGCAGTAAAAGTAGCAAGTCCCTTGAAGGGGACCTTGAAAACCGAAAAACAACAGGCATTGGCACGATAAAGATCCCTCACTGCTCAATGACCCTGAGTGCCGAGTATAGGTCGGATTTTGAAGCCCCTCACGGGTATATGATAACGTCTCTTAATGAGTGAAATATTCGCAAATGGGACGTACAACAAGATACAATTTATAAATCAAGCTTTAGTATCTTTTTTGTTTTGTGCCGCTATTTTTAGAGATACTGACAATGTACGATTTACTGATTGAAATAATTAATTTAATAATTCTCACAAGAGTACACTGGTTATTATATTCGTTAAAAAAAACATGATACACTGTGAATATGTAACGTTTGGTAGATAAGAAGTTTAACTAGTTTTTTTTCTTTTTGTTTCTCATTTTCCTTTGTTTATTTTTTTTTTGACAGATGTGTATTGTATTTCCTAATTTACTAAGTTGTTTAAGGGAGAAATGATTACAAAAGCAAAGAAAATCACGAATTCAAATGTCAAATTGAAAATGAATATGTTAAAATGTAAACCACTCTCTTTGACACAAGTAAAAAATAATGCAATTTACATTATACATTTAATTACCTCTTTTGAGGTCAACATGGTGAAATAAGGACCCGAGACCTGGTCCACGAGGTGACCTGACCTGACCAAGACTGTGTAGCGACCGAGGTCAGGGCAGGTCATCGAGTGGGCCGGGTCGAGGGTCCTTATTTCACCATGTTGACCTCAAAAGGGGTAATCAATTGTTTTATTATACCGAGATATTGAATAAAAACTCTCCTGTATGACCCAAAATGTAATATTACCACTGTCTTAACAATAAAAAATACATGATCATTGAAAAAGAGAGGAAGTAAATTGAAGTCATTTTGTGCATGGATGGAATTCTCAGTTTATTACCTGTAGTTAAACAAATATTAGTTCTTATTTAGAGTAATTGTTTTTCATTTTACTTTATTTATTTACTAACGCCTGGGCGCAAGGAGTGTACACATCAAATTTATTATCATCATGGTCATCTTCTACAAAAATTAAAAAGAACTTAGGCCATCTTCAAAAAAAAGTTATTGGTTGCCCTCTCCTGACCTACTGGTTATAATTGATCCGAGTTGAAAGGGTTCTTAACACAAACAAAAAATTGATACATGGATTGATGTATATTTTTTGACTTATTTTGATTTCAAATGACATAAATAATAAATCCCTGAAATATAAAGAAATCGTAGGTTTTCCTCGGTACCTAGATATGAGACTTTGTTTTTGCTTCCTATATAATTTCGTATAGAATTTTGTACAAATTTTTAACCTTATGACAAAATCTTACAGAATTTTCCCCATACACCTGGTAAACATTATTCTGGTTACCAATTTCTATGTAAATTTATGAGAAATATTGCTGAATTTCTTAAACATGTTTGTTTGTGTTATTAATCCTTTAAAAAATAAACCTCTAGGAAGAATTTAGTTTTTACAATTCTCAGAGAATAGATTTTGAAAATTAAGCATTGGTTTCAAGTTTTTGTAAAAATACAATTTCCCCCCACCTACCTAACCACCAGAAGTTTTCATTCTGAGTCGGGAGAGATCAAAAACATTACTCTAAATTTGGCCCTATTATACCAAATGTACAATCAGTTCTACATATATTCACATTTTAGGACGAGCACTTATTATTCCACTACAACGTGGAAACTAATGGACGACAATTTAACACTTGCACAACCGAAAGGATGTATATATTGTTGAGATGACAGTCCATGAAAGTAAATTAGCATACCTGTTTGATAAACTTCAAATCTGCATGAATTTACATAATATTCACGATATTTGCTTCTTAACCCCCTTTTACATGTTTTTGTACTTGATGTCTGAGCAATTTTCTCATTACACAACATGATCAATTCTCAGGTTCCATGTTAACCAGTAATGGCAACATCGATAAGAGATTTTATTCAAAAAGACTGATACAGTACAGTAAAACAAAAACAGCTTTGCTTCTATATGCATGTTTCTATTCATTTTTAGACGTTAAATCACCACATATTCTGACAAATCTGTTTCATATTTGTTTTTTACTAAAAAAAGGCCAATGGTAATCTAACAAGCAAGCTCTGTGATGAATGTGATTATTTTAATTTTTCTATCGTCAACTTCCCTTACTTTTGTAGCAAGATACATTCGTCACCGGTATACGGAGTTTAAATATATCAGTTAATTCAATACGCAAGGGCATGCTCCACGTATGAAAACTTTCTAAAACGAGGTTAATTATTGACAAATAAATTGATGAAACAAGAATATCAGCAGTCTCGTTTTAAGTCATTAATTCGTACGTTTTATCGTCACAAAACAAAATTTATTATTGAGTCAAATTCTGAGTGACTTTTTATTTAAATAATAATTGTTAGTCCATTATTTATACAATGAATGGACCATTAATTTTTTAGACATATTCTTGTCACTCTTGGTGAGTGATCTTTTTCGTGCCAGTACTGTAACACGGTACTTCAGTTTATACTGTATCAATTGAAGGACTAGTCTTCACGTCGCACAATAAGTTAGAACCTGCAACGTAAAAATGCACTCCTTATGCCCTAGGTCTTGAGCAGAGGCTCTAACCACTACGACCAATTTGTAAAAATTAAAATTGTTTTGACCCCAATTCACCTGCCTAAATTAGCAATTAGCTCTCTAATTTGAGGTTTATTATTTTCATTTTGCATACTAGTTTTATATTCTGCGAGTCATTATTAAGATAAGATCCATCCACCCATTTTGCTTACAAATCAACTTTGTCTTTACACTAAAAGGACATTTTGAATTAAGTCTAAACATGCAGTATAAAAGAATGTTTAAATTCGGGAGCTTTTGGATTTATAGAAACGTTGTACATGTATGATAAAGATGAGTTCTACAGAGAACATATCTTTTTTTTTACATTTTCTCGACGAAACTGTTTTTAGCTAACTTTCACAATGCCAACTTTGACTGAAATCAGTTTCTTTAAATTTTAAGTATCCAGTATGAGACCTAGACCCTTATAATAAGATTTTATTACAGTGAAACCTGTCTAATCCGACATGCACTGGGAGACAAATTTTGTGTCGGAATAGACAGGGTGTCGGATTGCACAGTGTTTAAAAAACAGAAAATACTAAAATGGGAAAGAAATTTAACGTCAGAATTCACAGTGTGTCGGATTATTCAGGTGTCGGATTAGACAGTTTTCACTGTACATACATGTATCTCTTTTCTTTGTTTTCTATGTTAAACAGTGCTAAAAAATTCTATTTCAAACGAAAGTAAATAAAAAACCTGTTTGTCTGAAATCTATGCTTTACAATTTCTTGTTAATTTTAGTATCAATGATTTATTTTGAATTTCTTTAGTATTTACAATTACGAGTGATAGGCTTGGTCAAGGTACAAAATGACTCTTGTTAGATATCTTCAAGGGTGAAATGAAATCTGAAGTTTTAGAATAGATTCCCAAGTCCAATTAAACGATGCATATTCTGAGTAGAGCAAACACAGACCTTTGAAAAAAGAGTAGAGATCAGGATCCATTGAGGGGGTTAATCGCCTGTCGGTCGTTGATTTGCCCCTCGCCATGCTCGAGTGAATGCAAAAATCCGTTGTCAATTCATTGTACAAAATAAAGACTAAGGCATTTAAAGAAAAGACTATATTTTAAAAAAAAATCAATATATCTTCCACACAGTTTGCATTGTAGACTAACTTAACATGCCATGACAAAGAGCACAACGAGTATGTGACCTGTCGACAAAAGTTGCTCAATTGTCAATGACACCTGATCTTACCTCAGTTTTCAGAAGTCTTTGTTTGCTCTTGTCACACTTTCTATTGTTTACTTGAATTTTTATCATGATAACAGTTCCTTATCCTTTAAAAAATCTTATCATGATGAAAAATCAATGATATGTTTTTCATACTAGTCTTTGATACAAAACTGTTTTAGGCGGAGTCTCAAACAGAGTGGATCAC